AACCACTAGGCCAACTCTACTCTTAAAACATCTTCAGCGGAGATATCTCAATAGGATATCCACATTAGAATAATATTAAAAACATGAAAAATGAAGAAAGAAAGTGAGATATCCGTGACAAGAGTCTCAAATGAGATATCCATGAACACTCATATCACATTTGTATTTATTCTATTGGTTTAATTTTTTTGCTAATATTAATTTAATTACATAACTAAATTATATTAAAATAGCAATATTAAATTAGTAAAAAATGCTTAAGAGTATCTCCATGGAGATGTTCTTAGCATCTAATGTACAAAGAGATTTGCATCCAAAAACACTAATATCCCTCTTTTTTTTACTTAAAACAAAAGAAAATGTCAAAAAATAATAATGAGAAAATACAAGAAAGCTGTCAAAAATAATATATGTTTCCATAACGAAAAAAACAAGATCGAGGAGAGACGGAGTGGAGATCTTTTGTTCAATTTGATACGAGCCTTTGGTTGGTTTATACTCTTCACCAAAACTGCCTATTTGAGACTCAAAATCAACCAAATAACGCTGACTTTTTTGTGCGTCGTTTGACCATTACGTGTAGAGTGTCTTTTCGCTATTGGAAGTGCAAAATTCGAAAGAAAGGAAAAAACTCGATTGCGTCCGTAATAATGCCTTGAGCAAAGTCAGAGTTTCCAACTGCAAGAAAAGTCGAATAATTAAGTAAAAATTAAAGCAACGGATCCAAGAAATTATATAAAATTAAATTGTAAAGAACTTCGATGTGATTGAAGCTCAATATATGCATGAATAAAGTGTATCTAATGGGACAACAACTTAAAAAGATTTCCAGACAGAAAGGTGTAAGCAAATCTTACTCTTAAGCCACACAAATCATCTCTTTTTATTCATAGAACAAAGCCAACATATATCGTAACAATATCATCACACTAGTCTAGATCAAGAATCGGTGAAGTGATGTGACCCACCATGATGATTTTTTTTTTAACTTTATTTTTTTTATAACAACTAGGTTAGTTAATGCATTATTGTTCAGAGAATCCAACAAAAAGGAAGTTTTTAAAATATAATAGGGTTATATGGCTACAAGAACTAGAATAGTTATTGAAGAAATGACAAGGCTTTATCATTAAATGTTGTACATAAAGCAAAACCACCTCTGTACCAATGTAACTGTACTATACCATAAAGAACAATCAAAATGACAGAGAAAATTGAAACAAAATCGAAACCCTAATTATTATTAGGAGAGAAACTAAAATCGAATTATTATTCTTTTCCACGTACCTTGAATTGAGGAAATTTTGAGGTTATTGAGCAAGCGAGAAGGTCAAAGGCCGTAGTAATTAACTAATTTCTCTTTTTCTTTAATTAGTTACCGACATTAACCAATGACATTCCTTCTATCCTCCTCGCTCTCTGAAATAGGCTGCGTTTGCGTTTCTTGCGTTTGAAGCGGTAGCGGTTGAGAAGATTGTGTTGGTATGAATACTTGAGCCTCG